GATGCCAAAGGCAGAGGACAGCAGCATCCAGAGGCTGGGGGAAGGTGGGGTAACTCTGAGGACAAGAGTCTCATAGGCTGCATGAAGGGCTTCATTTTGTCTCCCAGCATTTTTTATTTCTGAGAACTTGTCTCTCACTCTTTATTTCTACCCCAGGTAGGAGATCACTGTGGAAAAGCACTTGAGATGATCATTTTTAAATTGAGAGCTATTATAGGTACATTATATAAGGCTGAATTACAAAAGCAAGTGAAATACACTTGTATGGTCCACAGACTAAGCAGAGGTGATTTAGTGTAGGAAGGAAATATAAACAAGGAGTGTACACGTGTATGTGCCCTGGACAGTCATGTCACGCAGCTTTGGTTTGGTATTTGTCAGTCAAAGCAGAAGGTTGAGTAGCATACCAGAGCACAGGGATGGTACATATGGAAGTGGGAAAACAGGGTGAGCCTCAGGTGACTGATGGGCACTTCTCCAGAGAAATTCCAGCTTGCTGTCTAATTGTAAGACATGAGTGGATAAAGGAAAGCTGTTTATGGTCAAATGTCTTCATGATTCGGAACATTCAGGATCCATGTTAAAAACAAACTGGTGGAGGCTAGAGAGAAGACCCAACAGTTAGGGACATTTGCTGTATGGCATTAGGATCTCATCACCTACCTGACAAGTCAGGTACCCCATGCCTACTCAGGAAGAAGAGAAAACATGAGCTCCAGGTTTAGGGAGAGACTTCTGCCTCAAAGAAACAGGTGGAGGGTGATAGAGGAGGCAACTCAGTACACCACACATACACACACACACACACACACACACACACACACACACACACACCACACACACACACACACACACCACACACACACACACACACACACACACACACACACACACACACACCACACATACCACAGACACATGCAAATAAATAAACAAATGATAAATAAAAGAGAGACCCAACTGGTAGCAGAACATGATCTCACATGTGTATTGATCTTAGCATTTGGGAGGCAGAGTTGGGGAGGATGAGGAATTTGAGGACAGTCTGGGCTGTTTAAGACCCTGGCCCTCAACAGCTTTTGAACAGAAAAGTGATGATGAAATTATCTGTAAACTGAAGGATGACGGGGGAGCTGAGGAAAGATAGCCTTGAGGAGCTTTGCAGAAGTCTGTGTGTGGGAGATCTGGGTTGGCCAGGTGGTCACAGCAAAGGTGGAGATGGGAACAGAGAGGTTGAGGAATTCAACATGGCTGATCCGAGAAGAGGCTGAGAACCTTCTGTTGGGATGGTGGATGTTGTATCCCTGTGAGTTCTCCATTCCTTGTTGCGTGGGGGAATTCTCAGCTCTGCCCAAGTACTGTGAAACTGACCACATACTCATAAATGATAGAGCATGGTGTGGCTATGTTCTAATAAAGCTTTATTTGCAAAAGCTGGCAGTGGGCAGCGTTCCTATACTTGTGGCTTTCAGATCCTTGATTTTAACAGGATGATGTCGGCCACCCCACCCCCACTCCCAAGGGGCTCCTGCAGATGTTTCTGATTGTCATGACTTGGGGAAGAGAGGCTAGGAAGGCTGACTAATGTCCTGTGATACACAGGATGACCCCCACGGTAACACCCACCCCCCACCATGTTTACAGTGCCCTGGCTGAGAATCAGGGCCTGAGCACAGAAGAACCTGTGGCTCTGCGAGCATTAGGGACAGAGTGACCCAGGAAATGACAATCTGGGTTTGCTGTCACGGAATCACCTTTTTCTTTCTATACAGCACACATGTGGTGTGAAAATAATAAACTCCCTATTAAACTTAGTTTAGTAACTGAAACCGTGAACGGCCTGGCTGGCAGGCTCTAGTAACTTTAAACACATTTCTTTTTACTGCGTGTTTATGGGCGGCCATTTAGGTCTCTCCAGATGGACATGTTGCATCGATTAAGATCACGGCAGCTCATGTGTTCAGGAAACATGAAATGCAACCATGCTGCTCTGAGAACCCTGTGGGAAGTTCCCTTCCCCAGTGACCCCAGAGTCCAGCTCTGGGGGGCAGTCCCACTGCTGAGACTCTGCTTCCTTCAAATGTTGACTACACGTCTGCCCCATGTTTTTACCCCTGCTTTGGTTCTATACTCTGCGGGGGTGTATTGGGAGTAGGGGCGGCTAGCTGAGCTGACTAGTTCTCTCGGGTGCATTTTGAGACCTACTCATTTCTATTTCATGTCTGAAGAACCTTCAGGCATGTACCATTGGCCATACTAAGCGAGCACATAGCCAGCTCTGTCCAGGTAGTGCTCCTGAGAGCCAGGCCAGAGTACTGGTCTCTTCTGGCATCTGTGTGCTCCCACAGAGCCCAACTCACTGACCTCGTTGTCCAGCCCTTCATGGCTTAGGGGAGCAGAGTTGGGTTGTCTTGCCCCCACCCCTCCCTGAATTCTGTCACAGCCTAAAATATTTTTGGAAAGAAATACTCTGTTTCTCTTACAATATTTTCAAGCTATTTGAAAAATTTACCATATGATTCAGTGTGTAACTTTTGACATACTATAACATCCGCCTTTAAAAATACTTGTTACATTATAAAATGCAATTTGATGCCTTAATGAGTTGATAACCAATGCCAATGCTTTTAGAAATATGTGTTATTTCAGTTTTTAAAATTGTGTAAAATTATGTCATATACATACATATATGACAAGGTCTCAGCATGCAGATCCACTGGCCTGGAGTTCATTAGTTCCACTGGGCTGGCTTCAAACTCACAGAGATCCTCCTGCCTCTGTCTCCCTAGTGCTAGGATTAAGGACATGTACCACCATGCCTTGCTCAACATTGGCTTTATTTAAACATCCCTTTATGCCATTTATCATGTATGTTTTAAAAATAAAACTTTTGCTAGGCACGATGGCTCATGCTTATAATCCCAGCAAGAGACTGAGGCAGGAGGATCACCATGATTAAATTCATGCTGGGTTATATAGTGAATCCCAGGCCAGCCTGGGCTATGACCTGAGACCCATCTCAAATGAAGTAACCTGACAGAACCTTGCATTTTAGAATAGTTTTAGATTAATTGAAGACTTTCAACATTGGCAGTGGCCTATAGGTTCTCCTTCTACGAACACTGACCACAATGACTACTTCAGCACCAATGCATTATTATACCCGAACCCACCCCGCGTCCCTACCGCTATACTTTCCTCTAACTATCCTCTCCTGCTCCTTAGTGCCTGGTTACATTTAACATGACAGTGTGTACAATTGTCCTTGTGTTTAATGATCTGGATAGTTTGAGGAACATTAGTCAAGTATTTTGAGGGCTGTGCCCTGTGGGGGGGGGGTTCATCTGGTGTTTTCCTGGGGATTAGCCAGGTTTAGAGAGGAAGCCCCAGGTGAAGGACCATTTTCTTTAGCACTTTCCAGGGTACATGCTGTCAGCATGACCCGTCCCTGTCATCCTGTGTTGACCCTGCTGTGTTGACCCACATTGCCCTGCTGACGCAGTGTTTGCTGGGCTTCCCCGCTGAGAAGCTGCCAACCTTTCTCCTCCTTCTGTGGTGTCCTCTTTGGGAGGAAGTGACCACGCACAGGCCACACCAGAGGGTGGCAGGTATATGGCACCTGTCTGAGGATAGAGCATCTACATAAATGATTCAAATTGTTCATCTTCTCAGCCCCCACTTGGTTATTTATCCCATCTGTTATGTGAGACTAGTCTTGGGTGTGTTTATTTGCATGCTTTGGGCTCTGATCCAATACTATGCTATTTATTCTGTTGCTCACACAGATCCAGCTCCGGCCGCTGGGGGTTCACCCTTTGGGCTTTGGTGACTGTTGTGCTGTTGACGTACTGGTACTTGTGGGGTTTGTGGCTCCTGTTGGTCACTTTATTCTTTCCTGACATTTTATTTAAGGGGCTCCAGGCTTCTTGTGCTTTCTTGCTGCCACTCCTGGGAGTCCCAATTCTCCTTCATCTCTTCTCTCTCTCTCTCTCTCTCTCTCTCTCTCTCTCTCTCTCTCTCTCTCTCTCTCTCCCTCCCTCCCTCCCTCCCTTCCTCCCTCCCTCCCTCTCTGTGTAGGCCAGAAGTTAACACTTGGTGTCTTCCTCAATCACTGTCCACCTTGTTTTTTGGGATAGGGTCTCTTCCTTGGCCTGGAACAGTCAGACTCAGGGTGGCTGACCACCAAGCTCCAGGGATCCTCCTGTCTCTGCCTTCCCAGCACTGGGGTTACAGGTGTGCCCTATCACTCTGGGGTTTTTATGTGGGCACCAGGATCTGAACTCAGGTCCTTGTATTTGTAAGACAAGTCCTTTGCTCATTGTCCCATCTCCCCAGCCCTTTGCCTCAAAAAAAATTTTTTTTTTTTTTAAATGGAAGTCTGTCAGAAACTAAGATTTGGGTCCAAGAGATGCATTCATTGCTAATGAGGTGCCATTGCTGATTGGACCTCTCTGTGTGGGGAGCTGGGGGAGGGACTATGCACACACCATCAAGAATAGCTCCACATATGGCCATCTATGTTTGCACGAAGCTTACCTTGTGTTCCTGTCCACATCTCCCTTCCGATCTACCTTTTCACATGACTCACTCGGGCCCCTCCCAAACCCCTCTGAACCAGCCCCCTCTCAGAACACACAGTTTCTTTCACGGCCTTCCCCAGTTGTGTTAGGTAAACACACCTTCCCAAGACACTCTAAAGTGTTAAGAGGCAGGCACTTGGAAACAAGGAGACTGGAAACAAAAAGGGAAGAAGGAAGTGAGGCAGGGTGGAGGCAGGAAGTGAGGCAGGGTGGAGGCAGGAAGTGTGGCAGGGTGGAGGCAGGAAGTGAGGCAGGGTGGAGGCAGGAAGTGAGGCAGGGTGGAGGCAGGAAGAAGTGAGGCAGGGTGGAGGCAGGAAGTGAGGCAGGGTGGAGGCAGGAAGTGAGGCAGGGTGGAGGCAGGAAGTGAGGCAGGGTGGAGGCAGGAAGTGAGGCAGGGTGGAGGTTTGCTTCCTGGCTGCTTTAAGGCCATGGGAAGCTCCTGTCTCCTTGAACTGTGAAAGCAGTCTTATGTGGCCATCGACCTGCTCCATGGAATAGGACCCTCAGACAATCAAGTATCAGGATGTGGCCCCTGGTGCTGCCTGCTTCAGCCTAATCTATGGATTTGGTATGCAAAGCTGCTCTTCCCTGAGGAAGGGCTGTACTGGCCTGCTGAAGGGGTCTGGAGGGCCACTAGCTAAGTGCAGGACCGGAAGTTCAGGCTTTGTAACAAAGCACTATATTCTGGGAGGATGACATGCAGACCACCTGCTTGCTAGGGTAACTCCAGCAGAGAAGCCAGTGACCTGGAGGATGGTTTTACTTCTTCCTAGATCTGTGTTTGCAGCTTTGACTCAGCTTCTGTAGGTCACATCATATATAACCTCTGCCCCTGTGTCTGATGAACTTGACTTCCTCCTTGGTAGAGGTTGTGCCAAGCTCAGAGAGGGGGAGCTGTTTCTTGGTGCCTCTAAGTGCAGAGGCCTGCCTGTCTTCTCTAGGCCTTGTTTACTTGGCACACATCCTTGGCTGGCAGGTACTGTTAGGAGCATCGAGGTTACTGTAGAGCATGAACTGGCCTTTGTTAAATATTTTGCAGGCTTGCTGTGTTTGAAGTCATTTTTTGGCTCTGGGGCTTATTTCATCCCAGAAGAAGTTTCTAGAAATAGGTGAAGACCTCTACTGCATGTAAAATAAACGTCTGTCCTGACCTCTCACACACTGGCATGATTAAAAACAAACAGGTTGAGAATAAATGCCTGCTGTCTCTGTGACCTGTCTCCAGCCTTGCTGTGTAGATAGTAACCTGTGGGCATGAGGAGAAACAACCAGGAAATGAGAGGCCAGCCAGGAAGCACTGGGTCTGGACACCATGTGCTCCTGGAGAAGTTCAAAGTTCTTCAGCTGTGTAGAGTACACACTGTTTGAAATACGAGCGAACCTGGTCACAGGGCCTGTGTGTGCTCGTGGACTGGATGCTTTGGATTCCTGGCTGCTAGGCTCTTTACGAACCTCAGGTGGGAAGAAGGATGCAGGGTGGGGGTACCCCCAGTTTAATATCAAGGCTACACTTGAATAGCACCCCGTGTCTCGGACAGGTGTCACTTGTGTAAGAAGCATGTCATCTTTCCAATTAATTTTTCATTCTTCCGATAGTGAAGACCCCCATCTCAGTCCTTCTGGGGTGCTATCAACAAACAAACAAACAGCCCCATGGGCGTGGTAATGCAGAAATAACAGAAACTTACTGCTCACAGTTCTAGAGGTCAGGAAGTTTAAGTGCCAGGGGACTCAGTGGCTGGGGAGGGTTCTCTGCTTCATAGGTGGCGTTATCTTGCTGTAAACTCACATAGCAGATGCCTCAGGCAATTTCTGTAGGACCAGCTCTGTGGAACACTAATCCCATTGGTGAGGGCTATACCCTTATGATTAGTCACCTCGCTGAAGTCCCATTATCTCTTAATATTATCACAGTGAACTTTGTTGGGAAACCCAGACGTTAAGACCAGAGTAAGATCTCTTACCTGAAAATTCATTATGGGTTGTGCATTTTGTGGCTTGTCGATTGCTAGAAACACAAACCAAAGCAATAATAGCAAGAAAGAGGTAATTACCAAATCCTCATCTCACCGTATTTTTACAGTGCAGGAAGTTCTCTGTAGAGTGCTCCACCACTGCAGGCAAGTGCTGTCCTGTTACCAGCAGGCTGGAGCATACACCATTGCTGCAACCTGTGTAGGGGACATGGAACATGGGGATGCTTTCTTACTTATGTGTATGAGGAACTGAGACGGGATGCTTGTCCTTTGGACTAGATGAGAATTGAGTCGGAGAGAATATTGTCTGTGTTAATGGTTCTTAATCCTCTTAGACCCACTCTTTCATAACCAATATACCATGATGCTTTGTGGAAAATGGTGGAACAGAATTGCCAATGCTTTGCATGTGTCTACTCCTTTGGCAATGTGATGTCTCCACTGTTCTTATCAAGATGAGGGGTATGTTTCTGTGTTCCTTGAATCCAGCCTGGCTTCCTGATGGACCATGACTGACAGGCTGCAGTAGAAGTGTTGTGTGATTCCAGAGCTGAGGCCTCAAAGGCCTGGCAATTTGTTCCTTATACCCAAGGCACTGTGGGAGGAAGCCTGAGATAGCCATGTGGAAAGGCCATGGGGATGAGGGTCCAATGCCCTGGGCTACTGCTGTATGTGCAGCCATCCAGGACTGGCCTGGCCTCATGGATCTGATGACACATCACCAGGGCACTATGTGCTCAGCCGTTATGGGAAAAGGTGTGATTATTTTTTTAATCACTAAGTTTGGGGACAATTTTTAATGCATGACTCTGAAAACCATATTTTAAGTGCATATGAAATGCCTAGTATCTGTGAAAATCATAGGCTGCCATACATACAGATGAAAAGAAAAACAGAGTGCCTTCATTTTAATGCAGATGTAATAGGAAAATAATCTATAATAAAATAATATGTGAGTTCTTGAGAGACAATTGTGTTTGAAGTCACAGCGAAGCAGCTATATGTGCCTGAAGCCACTGGGAACTTCTCTACCCCAGTTGGATGGCACCTGAGTGATAGCATCAATAATGTGATTTTTTCCCCCAAAATATTCAGTAGCCAAATTCATAAATACAACAAATCATATTTTATCTCTATTGATATAGCAGTCATATCCTTAGAAAATTAATTTATATGAAAACTGTAGCTCCAGAGCCTGTATATATCCATAAAATGGAGTTAGACTCATAAATTATGAATACATTCAAAAGACAAAGTAACTCAGCAACAACAGATAGAAGGCTTTCAGCTAGGAAGAAATTGATAACATTCAGAAATGTGGGTTTTCGCAAGATAATGGATAATACCAGAAATGGTAACCATGTGAACAGACAGCTAAGATACTTTCCCTATTGTTTACATCTCTTTAAATGATAGTTGACTCTTTAAACAAACAAACAAAAAATGAAAGCAATTATGCAAAGATCAGGAGTGATAAAACAGAAGCATACTACTGTGTGGTTTCTATGCTACAGGACATAATGTATATGATATATGACTCATGATATATGGCAACTAATAATATCCATTGAAGATAGGCAGTGATAAAAATGTATACTGGGGCTGAAGAGGTAGTTCCATGGTTAAAGGCACTTGCTACTTTTCCAGAGAACCTGAGTTTGGTTTTCAGCTCCCATTTTGGGTAGCTCACAGTTGCCTGTAGCTCTGGCTGTCCTTGGAGGGCACCTGTACATACCTGGCATAGGCTTATACAGATCAAACACATAAAAATAAAATCTTAGAGAATGTATACTAAAATGTCAAAGCCTCTATCAAAATACCCCAACAGTTGTCTTGTCACATGGGCTAACGAAAGTGATAAAGTTAGAAAAAAAAATATACAGTTAATTCAAAAAAGGAAAAAGAACCAATGACAGAATGAATAGCAAACATTTAGACATCTTAAGAAAAATTTAACCCTACCCAAACACATATGAAATGTAAATAGTAAAATATCCCAATTAAAAGGCAAGGATTTTAAGATCGGATTAAAAAGAAAATGGAGAACCCAACTTTATACTGTCAAATAAAATAAAATCAAACAAGGTGCACCTTGACTATGGAGACACACAGAGATGGGTAAAGATGCACTATGATAAAAATAACCATATAAAGTAGACCGTACTGCACACCTAAGTGTTTGTTTATATAACAGATCTCATGATGTGCTCTTATCACAACTTTATAAACATGACTAATTACGTATAAATTGCAAACTGAAGGGCCTGTACTGGATCAAATAGATTTCAGAGCAGAGGGCATTATCAAGAATGAAGAAATTTCATAGTGATGTTGTCGCCACTAGCTAGAGACTAACCTGTGCTGTGTAAGAAGATTCTGTCCCCAAAGGAAAAACAAAAAACAGTGATAAATAGGACAAAGTAGAGTTACTCCAAGTAAGAAGGCAAAGAAAATGAAAAGGAACAGAGTGGAGTCATTAAGAAAACAATCCTACTAACAACCACCGCCATCAATGACAACAAAGCCAGGGGAATGGTTCTTTACGTGGATTGAAATAAAACAAAACTAATCTTGACAAACCCATATGCACACTGATCTGGAAAAAGAGAAGAAACTAATGTCCACGATTAGAGAGGAGACAGGTGACCAACCTCACCAGAAATTGTGTGTTATTTGAAATGAAAGAGAATAACACAGAAAACTTTATGTGAATGTGCTTGCCCCTTAGACAAACTGACAAATGCCTTGAAAGACATGCGTCAGCAAAGCTCCCTGATTGAAAATGATGTCAGGTGTAGGGGAGATGGGTTAGTGGAGAAAATGCTTGCCATGCAAGTACGAGGACAGGTTCCGATCCTTAGGATCCACAGAAAGCTGGGTGGGTGTGGCTGCCTACCTGTAATACCGAGCAGAGATGGGGATCTCCAGGTAGAGATAGGGGATCCCCAGAGTAAGCTAGCTAGCTACACTAGCCCAATAAATGAGCTTCAGGTTCAGTTAGAGACCCTAACTCAGTCAATATAGTGGAGAGAAAGTAAGAAAGACGCTCAATTCCTACCTCTGGCTTCTACACACATGCATTCATGCAAGCATGCAGACATTCATGCCTAACACAAAGCAATTTAAGTAGCCCTATTTTTAAATGACCTATGTCTATTATGTAAATGAATTTATAATTAAGTACTTTGCCCACAGTGAAAAATGTCAAACCAAAGTAACTTTACTGGAGACTTCTATCAAATGTGTAAATTAAAAGATGTGCTCAGTGTAATATAGACACCATGGATAACCTTCAGTCAAGATTGAGATGATTACATTGGGAGTTAGACAAGCAAGTGCTCACTCCCTGTGTCTGTTTGTTATTGTACTGAAGGCTCTGGCTGGCATGATTAGTCAGGAAAAAAGTGAATAAACGATAATTTCAAAAAGAAGAAGGTAGGCCGGGAATGATGGCACACTCCCTAAGTTCTAACAGTTGGAGCAGGAGTAGGGGCAGGGACAAATACAGGTGGATTGTTTTGAGTTCAGTGCCAGCCTGGTTGACATAGCAAGTTCCAGGTCAGCCAGGGCTACACAGTGAGACCCTGTCTTA